CAGCCACTGCACTCCAGTCTGGGCAACCGAGTGAGACTCCAACTCAAAAAAAAAAACAACAACAACAAAAATAAATAAATAATAAAAAAATACATGTACTTGATATTGTACCTGATGGGCTTAAATCAGTGTCTGATAAACCTCCCCAGAGGCCTTCAGAACCAGGAGTACAATCCTCTACCACAAGGTACTAGACATCATCATCATGTCTCGGAGAGGTAAGTAGTGCAGTGGTTAAGAGGTTAAGTCCAAAGGCAGAATGCCTGGTTCAAATCCTGGCTCTCCTACTAACTAGCTGTGCGACCTAGGGCAAGTTACATGACTTCTCTGTGCTTCACTTTCACTATCCATGAAATGGCAATAATAACAGCTTCTGCATCCCAGAGTCATCAAGAGGGTTAAAAGAGAATCTAGCCGAGCTCGGCGGCTCAGCCTGTAATCCCATGCTTTGGGAGGCCGAGGTGAGTGGATTGCCTGGGCCCGCGGGTTCGAGACCCACCTGGGCAACTTGGCGAGACCTCATCTCTACAATAAATCAAAAAATCAGCTGGGCGTGATAGCGCACGCCTGTAATTCCGGCTACTCGGAAGGCTGAGGCGGGAAGGATCGCTGGAGCCCAGCAGGTTGAGGCCGTGGTGGTCGGGAGCGGCCACTGCACTCCAGTCTGGGCGACAGAGTGAGACTCCAACTCAAAAAAAAAAAAAAGAGAATCTAAGTGCTTAGGAGCATGTCTGGCACTTAGTCATATTAGCATTGGTATTATTAGTATAACTAAAAATTTTATAGCATCAATAGTACCACTGTTATTTTAATGATTGTTATTACCATCCGTCTCTACCTCCTCCCAGTTCACTGATCCCAGGTAAGTGACTACCTGTCCCTGGGTGTCCATTTCCCAAAATGGGGTGGTTAGAAGCCCCTACATCAGATGGTGCCGTGAGGCCACCTGCACACAGGCCCAGGACACAGTGGGCACTCCTTAGCCCCCAGGACAGTATCAGGAGCCCCAGCCACACGCGAAGGGCACTGCCAGGAAGGCAAGCAGCAGCGCACCTGCGCTCGAGCTCCCTGCGCATCCGTGTACCCTCCTGCGCGGTGTCTTCCTGCTCTTCCTCCAGCCGGTCCCGCTGGCGCCGCAGCTCCTCCTGCGCCGCCTGCAGCTTCTCCTGCTCCCGCAGGAGCTCCTCGGCCTGCTGCTGGGCCGCCTGCAGGCTGTGGGCCAGGCTGTCCTTCTCCCTGCAGGACAAGCAGAGGTGATGCCAGGGCTGTACTCACGGAGGAGATGGCAGGGTTGCTCCCCTGGCCACCGGCCACATCTTCCCATCCTCCAAGGCACCTGCCTCCAGGAAGCCTTCCCTGACTCTGCCCATGGCCGACTCATTTCACCCACACCTCCCAGCAGAAGCAACGTGGCCTTCCTTCTCGCCGACCTACCCACTCAGGGGCCCAGTGGAATGGATGGGGGTGCCAGCATTATCTCCAAGCACCCCACCGGAAGAGGCCAGGTCGGGCTCCAGGGACACACAAGTAATTGTGCCACCAGCTCTGCCAGGCCATGAGGCCTCCACAGCACCCGTGCCCTTTAATTCTGGGAAGCCCAAGAGAGCTGAGTCTGTCCAGATCCTCAGCTTCCTGTAGCATAGGCACATGGGAACCACAGCAGGGGATGGAGAAAGAGGAGATAGCAACTGGGAACCAGAAGACTTGCAGAGACCTGCCATTCTCCCTACTGTTGGCGTGAGCGGAAAAACATACAAGGTGACGTTGGGTAATAACAGCAGAATGCAAAATGGGATGTCTGCTGTGAACACAACTTCAAAAGCCCTTGTCCTTCCCAGGCCTAGAAAGCCTGGGTTTGTGCTCAGATGGACCTGAATTCCAGTTCCCATCCTGCCACCCAGCTACACTCACTGGCAGTCTCAGCAAGTCTCTCAACCTGGGGACAATGAGTTCCGAATCGCATGGCAGGAAGACTATTTGAGATAATACACGCAAGGCACTTGGCCAAGAGCCTGGCACATAGTAAGTGTGCAGGAAGCATTTACTACCTTGCTACAAACAAAGCAAAGACAGTGTCCCAACAGGGGTTAGGATGGGCAGGTGAGGCTGCCAGAGGGCCCTGCCTTTTTATTTCCCTTTCACTTTTCCAGCTTTTTGTTATACGGTTACATTTACAAAGAAAAAAACAAAACAACAACAGAAAACCAACCAGGCAGCTAACAGGTAGATAGTTTCTCGTCTTAAAATCTCCTGGCAAGTACGGTAGCTCAAGACTATAATCCCAACACTTTAGGAAGCCAAGGTGAGAGGATTGCCTGAGTCCAGGGGTTCAAGACCAGCCTGGGCAACTTGGTAAGACCCTGTCTCTACAATAAATCAAAAAATTAGCCAGGCGTGGTAGCGTGTGCCTGTAGTTCTGGCTACTTAGAAGACTGAGACGGAAGGGCACCTGAGCCCAGCAGGTCGAGGCTGTGGTGACCATGAACGTGCCACTGCACTCCAGCCTGGACAACAGAGTGAGACTCCAACTCAAAAAATTTTTTTTAAAAATCTCCTGGCTAGGTGTGGTGGCTCACACCTGTAATTCCAGCATTTTGGGAGGCTGAGGCTAGAGGATTGTTTGAGCCCAGGAGTTCAAGACCAGCCTAGGCAACATAGTGAGACCTTGCCTCTACAAAAAAAAATAAAAAATTAGCTGTATATGGGGTGCATACCTGTGGTCCCAGCTACTTGGGAGGCTGAGGTAGAAGGACCTTACTGTAGCCCAGAAGATGGAGACTACAGTAAATAAGCTGTGATCCCACCACTGTACTCCAACCTGGGCAACAGAGTGAGACTTTGACTTCAAAAAAAAAAATTTCTGGCCAGGCATGATGGCTCAAGCCTGCAATCTCAGCACTTTGGGAGACTGAGGTGAGAGGACTGCCTGAGTTCATGGGTTCGAGACCAGCCTGGGCAATTGAAGAGACATCATCTCTACAATAAATGAAAAAAAATTAGCCGGGCATGGTAGCACATGCCTGTAGTTCTGGCTACTTGGAAGGCTTAGGTGGAAGAATCACCTGAACCCTCCAGGTTGATGATGGGGTGACTGTGAGTGTGCTACTACACTCCAGCCTGGGTGACAGAGTGAAACTATGACTTTAAAAAAAAATTTCCAAGCCTGGCTTGGTGGCTCAGCCTGTAATCCTGCGCTTTGGGAGGCTGAGGTGAGTGGATTGCCTGAGCCCGCGGGTTCAAGACCCGCCTGGGCAACTTGGCGAGACCTCATCTCTACAATAAGTCAAAAATTAGCCGGGCATGGTAGCGTGCACCTGTAGTTCCAGCTACTTGGAAGGCTGAGGCGAAAGGATCGCCAGACCCCAGCAGGTCGAGGCTGAGGTGGCTGGGAGCGGCCACTGCACTCCAGTCTGGGCGACGGAGTAAGACTCCAACTCAAAAAAAAAAAAAATTCCAAGAGGAAGTATGTATTTAAGGCAACTTCAATGTATACTCCTGGGTTAAAAATATTTTTTTTTTTTAGCCGGGTATGATGGCTCATGCCTATAATCCCAGCACTTTGGAAGGCAGACGTGAGAGGACTGCCTGAGCTCAGAGGTTCGAGACCAGCCTGGGCAACTTGGCAAGACCTTGTCTCTACAAACTTGTCAGGGACAGTGGTGTGTGCCTGTAATACCAGCTACTTGGAAGGCTGAGTCAGAAAGATCGCCTGAGCCCAGCAGGTCGAGGTTGCAGTGGCTGTCAGCATGGGTGACAGGGTGTGACTCCAACTAAAAAAAAAAAAATTTTTTAAGCTCCAAGAAACACAGTCCAGAATCATGCTGTCACCAGAACTCTCTGAGATGACAGAAATGTTCTATAACTACATATGGCTGTTGAGCACCACATATGGCTAGGGCAACCAAGGAACTGAGTTTTAAACATGTTCACTATGTTTTAACAGGCACATGCAGCAGGTGGTGACCATACAGTGCAGAGTCATGTGCTTAAGGACTTGGATGGGCTGGTAGCGGTGGCTCAGCCTGTCATCCCAGCGAGAGGATTGCCTGAGCCTGGGGGTTCGAGACCAGCCTGGGCAACTTGGTGAGACCTCATCTCCGCAATAAATCACAAAAACTAGCCGGGTGTGTCTGTAGTTTCAGCTACTTGGAAGGCTGAGGCGGAAGGGTCGAGGCTGTGGTGGCTGTGAGCGTGCCACTGCATTCGAGCCTGGACGACAAGAGTGAGACTCCAACTCAAAAAAAAAACCAACTCAGATGGCCTAAGGCCCAGACGCTGACTGATTCTGCCACCCCCACCTCCGACCTCCCAGGCACCTGCTCAGGAGCTCGTTGGCGCTCCGCAGACGCTGGGCCTCGCGCTGTGCGTCCTCATGGGCCTGGGTGGCCCCGTCGGTCTTGTCTCGCAGCCGCTGCAGTTGCTCCTCTAGGGCACGGCGCTCACCCTCGCTGTCACTAAGCTGCTTCCGCAGGGTGCCCAGCAGGTCCTGGCTCGCCTCATAGCGCCCACGCATGTCCTGGGGCGTAGGGGTCACTGAGTCTGGGGGAGCCGTGGGGGGGGTCCCAGAGCCCACCTCCTCTGTGCCGTTTCCAGGCGTACACCAGCCTACACTAAGCCAGAGCCTGGGACTGACCAGGGGCAGGAGACTCCCACAATTAGGTTTCCGCACCCTTTCTCTGTGCCCTTATCACCCTTCTGAGCCCGCACCTCCCTGGATTCCCAGGCAACTCGGATCCAAGCCTCCAGGACGTCCGACAAGCCCCCAGTCACCCTCCTTCTCCTCCTGGGCTCTGACTCCGCCCACAGCTTCCCAGCCCCCAGCCCCTCGCATTCTCCCAAACTCCTCCCTACCCAAGTTCCTCCCCTCCCGGACTCCGCCTCCTCCTCCCAGACCTTCTCCCAGGGTCCTGGCTCAGTGTGACGGGGACCTCAGCTCCTGCTCTACCAGGACTCTAACTCCACGGCAGGCCCCTCCCTCCCCAGGCTCCACCCCCAGATGCCCAAGCGCCTCCCACTCTGGGCTCAAATTCGGCCCCAGAGCTCTCTGCCACCTCCTTGAAACACTTTTTTTCTTTTTTGAGTCGGAGTCTCACTGGGTCGCCCAGACTGGAGTGCAGTGGCCGCTCCCGGCCGCCGCAGCCTCGACCTGCCGGGCTCCGGCGATCCTTCCGCCTCAGCCTTCCGAGTAGCCGGAATTACAGGCGCGCGCTACCAGGCCCGGCTCATTTTTTGATTTTATTGTAGAGAAGAGGTCTCGCCCGCCCAGGCGGGTCACGACTGAAACACTTAGTCGTGGTATCTCAGGGCTCAGGCTCCATCCTAGGGCGCTTAGGCTCCTCCCCCAGCCCTGGCCCCGCCCCACCAGGGTGCCCAAGCCTCTGCCCCAGGGCCTTCGGCTGCACCGGGGCGCTCAGGCCCCTTCCTACCTGGACCTGCAGCTGGCGCTTGTGCAGGGCGGAATGGATCAGGGCCAGCGTGGAGGAGTCGGAGTAGGCGGGGGACGGGCCTCGGCG